GTGTGGAAAAAGCTCACTGGAACACCCCCGTTCTTCCTCCTTTATTGAGGTTCTTGTAAAAAATCGGATAAATCTCTGTTCAAAAAATATAAAAGGGAGTCTGTAGGAGCTGACATCGCTGGTTAGCAGAACGGCCGTGTCCAGACACACACACACACACGCACACACACACAAAGCTGAAACCACTATACTTTCAGGTTATTCCCTTTACTTTGTCAACACTTTTCCTGACACTTTTCCTGACCCTCATTGGTGTGAGCATAACCTTTAACCCCGACATAACCTTGATTTTTACCCTTTTTAAGACCTTGATACAACCTCAACTCTCACCCTGAATCCTAACCTGCAGCTCTGTGCAGTATCTTTGTACCCAATGACGCCTCGGGGTCCAGTGTTAAGCTGCCCTTTGCTGTTCTCAACGTGCCGGCGCCGGTTTGATTTTCAGCTCAAAGTGAACACTGAGTTCAAGAGCAGAGACACAAAGAAAGTCATTTAAAAAAAGTCAGGTCTGATGTTCATATTTTGTTCATTTGTTCATTTGAAACTACACACAACGGTTAATGTAACTTAACTTTGACGAAACAAGCTAAAGACTTCAATAGAGCAGTTACCCTACCCAACGGATCCAAAATGGAGTTAAATAAAATTGTGTTATTAAAAGTTAACGTCAAAAATCTAGAGAAATATAGAACACGGTGACTTCTTTTTTCTGCCCAATAACCGTTGTTGTCCGTTGCAGCTGCTTATTATCAGGTAGTTACAGTAGAACCAACATAAAAGTTAAGTTGCAGCGATGACAGAAGTCAAAATGGAATATTTAACACCGGCTTCAGAGTCACAGTAAGCACTGCATTCACAAACAACAAGCACGCAACAAATGCAAGACCCTCTGATTCCCGGCTTTATTCATATTAACAACTAGTGACTTTGGAAAAAGAGTGGTTCCCTCTGCGCACATGGAGTTCTGTGCCTCCACATGGAGCGTGTGCTTCTTTCAGTTTCTAGGTAACACATCCACAAGATGAAAAAAAAAAAGCTTTCAAACTTTATGCCCTCCATCATTAAGAGAAACCTCTTTATGGTTTTCAGTTTGTTGCCTGTGACCTCGGCGGTAAAATCAGCCATGATGTTGTGGTCGCAATTTTGGTTTCTGGTTTAGTCCTTTATAAAACCGAGCGAGTGTTTACAGTGAAGGTTCCTTCGCTTCACTGAAGTTTGGAGGGAAAGTGTGTTTCAGCCTGCGCAATCAGTGTGAAGCTGTGACGCCTGCGTCTCCGCTGCGACTCTGTGTGTGTGAGTGTGTGTGATGTGATCCCGTGTGCGGTTTTGTACGTGTTCTCTTGCTAGAGAAGTGTGGCGTCATTACATCACGACTTTTCCATGCTTGCTGTATGTGTGTGTGTGTGTGTTTGTTGCCAGATTTGAGAGGGAGAAGGGGGGGGTACACTTCTCACCTTTTACGCTAAATGTCATCCAGACTACACCCCTGGCACACACACACACACACACACACACACACACAGATTATTGTAGCGTAACGTTTTTTATTCAGCGCATTATTTTCCGGCGACCAGGACAGATGAAAATCTTCAGTATCCTGCCAAAATGTGTGTATATGTGTGTGTGAAAAGAAAATAGAGAGAAATGGAAAGAGATACACACATAATGCACGCAGCTGCATACACACACACACACACACACACACACACACACACACACACACACTGAAAAAAGTACACAATCGGCCCAATCTGATGCTGTATCTTGGGGTGTGAAAGGGAGCCTTGTCTGGCTGCCTGAGGAACTCCCTTTGAATGTTTGTGTGTGTGTGTGTGTGTGTGTGTGTGTGTGTGTGTTTGTGTGTGTGTGTGTGTGTGTGTGTGAGCAGGCCTGCCAAGCAGACATACTAAACCACTCTACATCCATGTGGCAGCAAAATGTAGCTTGGAAAACAACCCCACTCTTACACGCACACACACACACCCCGAGGGCTCCAGAGGCCAGCCGGCAACCTGGTGTGTCTGCGCTAATGCGTGTGTGTGTGTGTGTGTGTGTGTGTGCATGGCACAGTAAAAAGAGGAAGTGTACAGGAGCTGTGAAAACAGTTCAGGTCAACAGCTTTTGCGCAGACAGAGAGAGAAAAAGAAACCGAAATCTGCAAAGGTGAAGGATAAAAGAGAGAGTGTTTCTTTAATATTACACTCTTAAAACCTCATGAAAAGGCCTCAACATCTGAAGTAGCTTCAGTTGGGCCGCATGCTAATTAGCAACATTTTTCATCTATAAAAGCAGTCTGGCAATCAGAGCTTTCAAAGCAACATGAAACAGCGAACAGAGCTGCAGAGAGGCGGAGCCATCTGTGCTCAATTTAAGTTCCGAGTTCACACGGAGAAACATAACGAAGGGCTGGAGAATGAGAGAGATCATTTTCACCTTGCTTGCAGTATTCGTGTAAAAAAAGTTAAAAATAAACAGCGAGAAATAATTTAATAAGTCAAGGGCATTCTGGTGAATCTGTATTTTAACAGTTTTAACAGCAGCTTTTGATTTGATTGTATTAAATGTATCGAGGCTTCTCTGCAGCCACAAGTTACACCGTAAACCGGGAATCAGTGCGAAGATAAAGGTGTAGCTGCAGTCAGCAGAGCGCTGCAAAAGATGAAGCTGTGTTTGTGCGCACGCACACACACACACACACACACACACACACACACACACACACACACACGCACCGATGTGAGAGGTGTGTCTCAAACAGGAAACAAACTACCTGCTAAAATTAGTCCCAGAAAGAAGTCTGCATTCACACGCACATACTGTACATAACTGAACGCAACCAGAAGCTCTCTCCCAAAGACACACACACACACACACACACACTCACACACACACACTGGTGGTTTCCATTTGAGGGAGGGTTACAGTAGCTCTTAATGTTAATTCCCTTCAGAATAAAAGGGCGAAATAAGAAAAGTTTGATTTTAACTACATCATGTTTAATAAAAGCACTCAACGTAAATGCATAAAAGATGTGGAACCAAACTGTTGTACAGAACCTCATAGTTCTGCTTCTTTGGAGCGTATGTTTACATATGTCACCCGTGTGTGTGTGTGTGTGTGTGTCGTACATATCTCTTTCCCCAGGAGTAAACTGGGGTCAAACCAGTTAGTGTTGTCACGGCAATTTGCAGCTAGGCCTCTGCGTGTTTGTTTGCTTTGTGAATTTTATGAATCTGGAGTATGTGTGTACCTGAACATGCATGTGTGTTTATACTGTATGTGTGTGTGTGTGTGTGTGTGTCGGCTTGTGTGTGAATGATGTGTCTGTCTGCCAGTGTGTGTGTGTGTGTGTGTGTGTGTAACACAGTAAGCTGCCCTCGGGCTGATATATATTCTTTTCACTCAAACAGCCCATTTACAGTTCTGGGGTCGGCTCCCTCTCGCTCTGCCGTGACCCGGACCGTTTGGAGGTCAGCGTCAAAGCTGAACCCAGGTCAGCTCGCTAACTGACTCCAGCTCCGGTCCTCTGGGGGTTTGCCGACAGCCTGGGTTGCTCAAACTGCGGGGCAGGGCCCCGAAAATGGGCCGTGCAGGGCCCCGAAAATGGGCCCTGCAGGCTTCTTCTAGTCGGGCCCCGGCGTGTAAAAATGGGTTTTTCTTTATCATCTGCAGCAACGAAGTTTGGGCAACTTTTAAAGCATTACAAGACACTTTTAGCATCTGCCGCTAAACGCTCTTTGCTGTGGCGTCAATTCTGGCGTCTTCTTCCTCCGATTGTCGGTAGATTCTGGTCGAGTTCCCGTCGGCTGTCTTCTCCTTCTCAGCCAAAGACTGTCTTCTTCTTCTGGAAACATTAAACACAGAGTGTTTCTTTTAGTAGTGGATACACAGCAGTCCTTGAGAATATTTCAAGTGGCAATAAAGCATCGCGCTGGTTTCTTTTTAGACGAGGTAAAGTGCAAAAACGCCGACTCATTTCTGGGTTTCAGGACTCGTTCCTGCAGCTCGCTCCAGCTGAAAAGGACTGAGGTTGGAAATGATGAAATCCTCGAGGATCTTCTTACATTCCTTCATTGCCGTCTTCATGACATTTCATTTACTGTACTTGAAGCCGGAGCTGAAAATGTTTTGGGAACCTTTGCCCTCGGTGATTCATTGGTTGATGTTACAACTGAACTGGAGCCCTGAAGGCATCCTGAATCAGTTTGCATTGGATTAACTCTGTGTATACCAGCTTCTTAAACATCTGCTGTCCGCTACCTTCACCGTCTACGTTTACTTCTGCTCTGGGAGCCGAGATGATGGGAACATTAGTAACTTTTAGCATGTGGGGGACTCACCAGAAATGATCTGTTTGGGCCCCAAACCACAGAGAGAGAGAGAGAGAAAGACTCACTCAGAGCATTTAGAGGTGAAGATCAAAGCTGGAGTGGAGGTCAGAAACCCTAAAGGCTGCTCTAAATTAATAGCACGCATAAAAATCAGTCGCGAGGAGCCTGCACTTGAAAGGCTTCGGTCACTTTGCAGAATAACCATCGCAGAGTCATTCGGCAGCTCGTGGAGAAAGTTAATGATGTGACGGTGAGGACCGGGAGGACGATGATGATGTTCGGAAAGATGACGCTTGTCGCCACTTTAACAAAGCATCCTTAGAAGTAAAGAAAAGCAGAAGGAATCTGGTGACATCTTCAGCTTTTTGACATCAGCTGAGCTAAAAAAACATTTATTTTAACAATATTTAAGTGTTCTTCATCAACTTTCGGACATGTTCATTTTGGTTTTCCAATGCACGAAGTCAAGCTGATTATAAAAAAGTTGAGATGGAGATCCCCCTCATCTCCTCGTGATGATTTTCATTTCTTCATTCTCTCTCGAACAGACAAGCCTTTTCCTCTAACGTCGGCTAAACAGGGTGGAGTGTTTGGGGATTTCCTCTCACACCTTCTGCTGTGCGTACGCCTCTACTGTTACTGATGTTGTCTTGTCTCCTCTCTGTCCAGGGTTCGGGCTTCCACGCGTCGCGGAGGCAGAAGTACGGCAACGTGTTCAAGACCCACCTGCTGGGCCGCCCTCTGATCCGGGTGACGGGCGCCGAGAACGTGCGCAAAGTGCTGATGGGCGAGCACACGCTGGTGACGGTGGACTGGCCTCAGAGCACCGCCACGCTGCTGGGACCCAACTCGCTGGCCAACAGCATCGGAGACATCCACCGCAAGAGGAGGAAGGTCAGGATGAAATACACGAATACGCATATGCATGCACATGTTGCAGATTGGTGTGTCATAGGAGAAGGAAAGACGTCCCTTCCTCAACAAGCAGGATTGTTCTGGGAACTTAACATGTTGGCATTAAAAAGGTCTGTCTTTTCTGTAGACGTCGTGCCGGAAAATGTACGTCGTGCAGTGTTAAAATCTGAATTAAAGTCACGCGGATAGTTGCACAAAGAAAGACGTGGTACAGTTTAGACACACAAACATGCCCTTTAAAGGAAATGGCGTCCACTGTCAAAAGCAGTGGAGTCATCTGCTACACAACGAGGAAGGTAGGACACACACACACACACACACACACACACACACAGTGAGAAAGACAGAGTATCAGTGTAAAGCTATCCCGTCCTCTCGGTCTTATCAGCAGCGTTCTGGCTACTGAAGCGTGAGAACGACCCCTCCATCACTCGGCCCTCTGTCAACGCTCTGTTACCTGCTTTTTCTTTCTTTTTCTTCACATCCTCTCTGCTTAAGTTCTCCTTTATTCTGACTACTATATACAGTATATACATATACATATATATGTATATATATCTACATCTTCTTCTGTCTCTCTTTGCTTCCTTTTCTTTCTCTCTCACTCTCTTTTCCGTGCCAGGACCATTTCAGGTAATCAGCCACTTACCTCTCCCTCCTATTATCCCGTTATCCCCGGGGCACATACCTTCTCTCTCTCTCGCTCTCCTTCTCTCACACACACACACACACACACACACACACACACACACACACACACACAAAAGGACAAAAAACAAGCCGAACAAGCAGCAGAGGCTGCTGTGTTTTCCTGCAAATCAGTCTCTACTTTTCTCTACCTCTGGATCCTCGATGGAGGGAGAGAGGAGAGATTTAAAAAGGGGTTTCGGAGGCGGGGTCAGGTTTCGTTGCCGCTGTGCCCGGGGACGGTGAGGGGTCGGCTGGGTCTAATCTGGGCTCTGATCCCCTCTCCTCTCCCTGGAGACCCCTGCACAAACCTCATGTAATGACCCCTGATTAGGAAGGCTGCCTCCAACACAGCACAAAGAGGGGCTTTCTGTGGGGGCTCCACACACACACACACACAACAGTACACAAAGCCATAGTATGTGCACACACACCTGAACGTTCCCCTGCACTCAACCCAAACAAAATACAGAGACGACCGTTCTGACTGTTGCATCATTTTTAGATAACAGGCAGACGGACAGATTCAGAAGAAAGAGAGAATAGCAAGACGTGCAGAGAGGTCAGCTAGGCAGTTTGTGTGTGTGTGTGTGTGTGTGTGTGTGTGTGTGTGTTGGCAGCCCTCCCTCCTGTTTTCTGGGTAATAAAACTAAGTCAACAGCAGAAGCGAAACAACATCAACTGGAGAGAAAGAATGAGCGACTGGCTTACTGTCTGACCCACTGGACCAGAACTGCTCCTCTCTGTGTGTGTGTGTGTGTGTGTGTGTGTGTGTGTGTGTGTGTGCGTGTGTGTGTGTCTGCCCTCCTTGTGGTTTTGCGTTCGGAAAAACAATCTTCACACAGCACATTAGCCTTCGGTGGACCAACAAGAGCCAGCCAGTTTCCATATAACCCCGCGTTAAGCTAGGAAACTAACTCCCTCAAAGAGCCACGGCGGCCTGGTTTTCCACTACGGGCCAGTCAGGGCCAGCTGGGGCCAGCCAGGGCTCACACATCATCCTGGTCTGAAAAACAACAACATCGAACAGGGCTGTCTGGGCTATCTGGGCTTTGGTCTCAACCTCTTGGAGATGGTTCAGAACTCTGAGCCAGCGTCGGTGCTTTGGCTTTAAGTTTGAAGTCACTTATAACACATCTTCTAAAGGCTTCTCCAGTCAGCCGTCCATGACTCTTATTTCTAAAGACAGACTTCTTCACTGGTATAAGGACACGATACCAGCGAGAGAGGCAGGCCGAGCGTCACACATGTGGTTCCAGACTCCAACTGAAGTCACATTCAGGCGTTCCAACGATGTTCTTGCACTCCACGAGGTGTTCTTAAGATTAACCGACTGCAAATAGATTCAAATGGAGATCAGATTTGATGGGTCGCTTTGCTTCAGTGGACCTCGTGTGGGATCCGTTTCCCTGCGACTTCAGTTTTTAACCTTCGAATGACACGAGACCAAAGTACATTGGTCCTTTCTTCCCCCCTGGCTGTACACAATAAGCTGCACATATGATTTAGGGCCTTTTCTTTAGCTCGCCCATCAAAATGAACTGTCAAAACACACGGTAAGTGTGCTGTTGTTAACACGCTGAAGTGCCTCAGTAGGCCCTACATGACCTGCAGTGGAAACTGTCCCTCTATACTGAAATAACAGCGGGTGAATCCAAACACACGCCGTGTTGACAGTGGCAGCCAGTTCTTTATTTTCACCCTCCTGACATGCCGCTCACTCACTCTTTTCTGTTCCTCCACTGCATGAACCCCCTCATTCTCTCTCTTCCCCACATTTTCCTTCCCCCTTGTTTTTCTTGTTTTTATTGGAACCATCCCTACATTTAGGAAAAAGGAGAACCACAGGGAGGGCAAATAGAGTGAGATTGGACAAGAATAAAAGAGACACGTGGAGGAATCTGCCTCGATTTAAGTGTCACTTGTAACCCGTCATCTTCAACCTGTTTTCTTTCCATCTGTTCTACACGGCGGGCCAGTTTCCCTTTCCTCTCTATTCATGGGTTCTCTTGCAGTGATAATAAGAGTAGAAGAGGGCCGTTGATGTATTACGCACTGATCAATTGTGAGATTTGGGGCTATTTTGCTTCCATAACACGTTTTCTTTCAGACTAGTGGAGAGAAAACGCTCAAAATAAACTAAATTCACCAAAACGTAGCATTAGATAATACCTAATTTGCATATTTAAACATAACATTTCAGAAAACTTGTAATACAAAAACTAATTATCTTAATGTAAGTATTCAACTGGGGAAGTTTCATGAGGATATCTACGAGTTATTTTTTTTACCCTATTCAAGTGAAGATGCTGTGAGTCAGTGTGCTTCTCTGCGTGCAGCCCTCGTGTCTCTGAGTGTCCTGTGCTTCTGTTCATCACCAGTAGAGGGCACTGCCAATTCTAACTGTCCTGAAGCCCATCCTGTCTGTCCCCTCTCTGCTCTTTAAACAGCCTCTAAGGTCAAATTAAAAGACAAGATATACGAGTGGTGAGTTGCAGCGGAGTCACAGTTTGTTTGTACAGGGGGGTGCACATACACTCACAACCATACAAACTGTATCACTGTTGTCTTAAGAAAACCTTAAGCCTGCAGCTCAGGTGATTTTCTTTACATTCCCTTTACAGCTGAAGGATCTCATGCTCCTCTATTGATTGAGAAAAGCCAGCAGAAATGGTCTAAATTCTCAAAAAATGTAGCACAAAGTCAAAATATTAGAGTAATACAATGTTTAAATACTGCAGTGGTGGAAAAAATATTGTAAAAATACTCTATGTCCAAGTAAAAATGAACTTCAGTGAAAGTAATATCAGCTAAATATACTTAAAAGTACTTTTTTATGCAGAATGTCATAAAAATTATTTAAATCCTGCTGAGAATAAAGCTTGTGTGCTGTAGGGTAGAGTAAAATAGAGCAAAGCATCATAATTGATCTCTTCTCTCTGATTTGCATGTAAATCCTCATTCTGCTGAGTAAGTGCAGGGATATTTAGTGGAGCAAAAAGTGCGCCATTCCCCTTTAAAACACATTACAATGAATAAAGCGTACAAATAGGAAGCACTCATGTTATAAGGCGGTACTGCGACCATTTTCGCAGTTTGCAATACAAGCTAAGAGGACATCCACATCTAAAGGTGCCAGATTTTCCCTTTAAAGGTTGTCAACAAAGTGAATCCTTTTGTGATTGGAAGTGATGATGGAAAGACGTACGGACTGCTTGTGTGACGAGGAGAAAGAAAGAAAAGTTTTTTTGTTTTTTTTAAAAGGATGGATGAAGGGGCAGGGAGAGACGGGAAGAGGCGGGAGTAAAGAGAGAGAGAGAGAGAGAGAGAGAGGGGAAGGAAAGGAGGGCAGGGAGAAGAATAAAGGAGTCTTTACATGTCTGTGGAACCAGCAGCTCACAGCACTTTCACATAATTTAAGACATATGGACGTTATTAGGACGACTGTGTCTGTGTGTTTGACTATATCAGTGTGTGTGTGTGTGTAAGAGTCTGGGAGTGTGTGTATGTGTCTTTGCGCTGCAGGCTAACAGAAGACGGTCACGTTTTTGTGGTGCAGCAAAATGACTGAACAATCCCCCCCCCCCCCCCCCACCACCACCCCCGTCCTGTGTGGAGCTTGGGACCGTCCCAGAGTGACACTGCATAAAAAAAAAAAGCGTTTGACTGGCAGCCAGGCCGTGCAGGAGGATACCGTGTGTGTTCGTCTGACCTGTAGTTACCTTTCAGAGTCTCGGCCTCCCGTCTGCCTGCCTGCCTGCACGCACACACACACACACACACACACACACACACACACACACACACACACAATCATGAATAGTCGGAGCAGGAGGGTTGAGCTACTGTAGGACCAGTGAGACAGTCAGTCGCTGTGTGTGTGTGTGTGTGTAGGAATCGGCAAAGTACTCGCCCAAATTGACCAATTACGCCTAATCCAGTGCAGACGGGTTAAATGGCCAAATTCACAGCGTTACACAACCTCGTTTGGCTTAACGAATATTTCCCTGCTGATTCCGAGTCCAGTTTTCTTGCCTGCTGGCGTCTGATCGCCAAACCGGCAAACCGCTGGCTGAGGCACTGATAGACAGTCGAGTCATGGATTCAAACCATTGACGTGAACGACGTGAAAAGTAATTCAATTATCAAACGACTGATCGACCAACCCCCTTACCATCCAAATAACTGATGAAGAAACCCATGAAATGAATGATTACGTAGAGAAACTAAAGAAAAGATGACTTTCTGCAACCAACTAAACGTTTGACTAAGTAACCAACCTGGTAACACACAGACGGACAAATAAGACAGAAGTAGACGTCCTCTTTTGGGCCGATCAACAGCAAATATGCAACCTTGCGACATCCTTCCTCTGAGTTCCATCCAAATCCAATCATGCCTATTTCACACCACACATCTGTAGCCCCGATTTCCAGGTTAGCTTGGCGCTTGCGAATCGCCACTCGAGCGCTGTGCGCTCGAGCGGAATGTGCATCGCAGACACATTCCAGATATCCAGCAGGTTAACTATCTGGATCTGTTTGGAGAAGTCTGTCAGGAAGCTCCAGCCAAAGCAGATGCCGAAAATACACGCGTAGTTTGGAGAACAGAGAGTGGCGATACTACATTGACATTAACTTCTACTCCACATTATCTAAATCCACCGCCAAGCGACAAAATAACGGCCATGACAGCCTTGTCCCCCCCCCCAGGCTGTTTTGAGGTCAGATAGTGTGTGTAGTTCCCTGTGGCCAGGGTTGGAGAGCAGGTCATGTAAGCTGATCCGTGCCCAGCGGCCCCAGGGTGCGGCAGCAGAGGAAATGTAGCGCTGCTAACGTCTTAGAGCGCCCTGTGATCTGCACTAACCACTCCCTAACACACACACACAGCATAAATACATAGCCGTACGCCGCACACAACGTAATCCACACACTTATTCACGCACACATCACCGGCTCAGTGGACTATTGTTCATTCATTCTGAGGGCGACGAAGGGAATGATGGGGGAGAGAGAGGGAAGAGGGCAATGGAGGAGAAAGAAAATGAGAGGAAAATGAGGTAGAGGACAAAATAAGAGTACAAGTGCCCGACTGATGGTTTGGTAGCTAAAACATCGACCTCAGGAACCACATGTACCCTCACTGGCCTGGGCTCGGATCCCACTAGAAGCTCCTTTCTTCCCTCTCTGCCTCCTTTATGTCTCAATGAAAAGAAGCAGGAACAGTCTGTCTTTATAAACATGTTATCCAAGTGTATTAGCTTATTTAAAACATATTGCAAATGCACAATAAACTCGTTTTGTAAGTCTATAATGTGTTAGGCATAGTTTAGTTTATCTGCATGGTTGTAAAAAAGTAGAAGGAAGGCCATAAAAAAAGAACCCACAACAATAAAACAAATAGAGAAAATAACCACAAGACAAGATGCAATTATGAGTTTGTGCAGGTTAGAAAATAAAGTAGCTCATAAAAAAACTACAACATAAGTACTTCAAAATCGACCAAAAAGGAAAGAAACTAATACAGCGAAACAAAGAAATGTGAATGTTCGCCCCGCATCTTAACTAGCATTTCCAAAACGATTGCAACGCTCTTAAAGTGAATCAACGGACCGGCCACCGATCATTAGACGGCTGTATTTATCTCTAATATAAAACGTGCTGGTTCAAATGTTCCAGTCTCATTTCAATGGGCAGAAAATGCAAACCATGTGTACCAGTCGCTGAACCTGCCAGACAGTGTTCAGCATTGCCTTCTCGCGATTACTGTTTGAATAAAACCTAGCATCCTGACATCTGTGAAACTTAACTTAACGGTCTTTTATGAAAGCTCATCGCTAAAAAGAGTTGACATTTCACCCAAGCAGCAGTGAAATTAGCCACACTGAGGGAGTGCTCAAAAGGTCAAAAGCACAAGAGAGTTATTTCTCTAATAAAGCTAAGTGTTAGTGACTGATTCATATCAATATAAAAGCCCTATTCTAGTCCAGTCCGCACGCCTTTCTCCTCTACCCTCCAATGTTCTCCACTTCTAAATCATTTCCAAGACTATTTTAAGGGCAGTTTTCGGAGCTTAAATCAGATGGAATGTTATTTGTGCAAACAACACTGACGACTGGTGACTGATTCTTACTAAGAAATACTACGAGCAGCCAGGAAAGACTTAACCCCCCCTCCTTTCTGCCTGTCACTGGAGTTCTGCTGACTACAGGGAAAAAACCTCCACAATGTATAAGTCTCTGTAAGGAGGGAGATGCATGTGGAATGGGCATCACAGAAAATGAATGAGAATGAACATACGATGGAAAGTCTTGGTATAATTCAAAAGAGAGACGAAGGGGATTAATGGATAGAGAATGTTGTAGAGCTGTGACAGGAGAGGGAAAGAAGGGGAACATTAGGAACTGTGCAAAATGTCAAATGAGTCGCAACCATTGAGTTAAAGCAATAGACCGTGGATAAGAAATGCACGTAGTCAGCGCGATGTCTCATTGGTTTGTGGATTGTTTTGAAGCCTTGAGTTCGGCATTTTGGCCGTCGCCATCTTGTTTTTTTGCAACCAGAAGTGGAGCCAAGTACAACCGAACGCTGAACAAGACCCTTTAAAACGACCAAAATGTTACAACTGACTTTCATGAATTCAAAACACACCGTGAAAGAGTTTAAGTAAGTTTGTACTTACTGCACTTATAAGAGTGAGGAGGATTACGCTGTGCAGTCTTTATGGTTAATCAGAGCTTTTGTCCTCTGCTTGCACTTGTTCAAAAGAAAGTCTCTGTGCTTTCTGTCTGTGTGCCAAGTCATACAATTTATGAGCATCTAATGCAAATCCTGGGTGATCTTTATCGGTCTGTACAGTACGTGTCATGAACATACCCATTCCTCTGTCTCTCCAGGTGTTTGCCAAAGTGTTCAGCCACGAAGCCTTGGAGTCCTACCTCCCGAAAATCCAGCAGGTCATCCAGGAGAGCCTCCGAGTGTGGAGCTCCAACCCTGAGCCCATCAACGTCTACAGGTACGGTGGGCGTCCTAGCGTGGAAACGCATTCACAAGAGAAAGAAATGTCATGTCATCAAAAACAACTAATACAAGTGAGGATCTATGGATGTGACCGAGGTCCTGATTGGTTGCTTTTTCGCAGGGAGAGCCAGAGGTTGTCCTTCACCATGGCGGTGAGGGTGCTGCTGGGATTCAGGGTGTCGGAGGAGGAGATGAGGCATCTGTTCGCAACCTTCCAGGACTTTGTTGACAACCTGTTCAGCCTGCCTATAGACCTGCCGTTTAGCGGCTACAGGAAGGTACGTGTTCACGTAAAGTATTCCCTTTATGCTGAGTCGTAGTTGCTAATGATTTGTGTTTCTGGCACATAACTGCAGCATTCGTTTGAGGCTACATAAAATGGGGTTCCTTTAAGAGAAATCTTGGTATCTGGTGTAACCTCTGCTTTGTGTGTGTTTACAGGGTATCCGTGCACGAGACATCCTGCAGAAAAGCATAGAGAAGGCCATCAGGGAGAAGCCGTTGTGTTCCCAGGGGAAGGATTACAGCGACGCGCTGGACGTCCTGATGGAGAGCGCCAAAGAGAACGGCACCGAGCTCACCATGCAGGAACTGAAGGTAACGCGCCGACGCACAGAAATCACCTGAGGAGAAGGTGTGGAAACGCATGCTGGAGGGAAGCCAGACGCACACGAAGCCCCCCTCAATCACACATAGGAGCATTAACACGCCAGCTCTGATGCGCATGTGTGCAAACAAACACTAAGTCACGCATAATGAACACGCTCACTGTTTAAAGCACTGCCAAAATGGAACCTGTGTTCGTTGACCGAACACACACACATCGACAATTATTGTAATTTCTCCAACAAATCATCTTGGCATCATACGCAATGAAAGTGACTTATGATACACATCTTTATGTAAAATATGACTGCAGGGATGCGAAGCTGATGCCCATAGGCAGCCAGTAACACACACAGTCATGGACAGGCACACCCTCTATTTACCTATTAAAGTAATTCTGAGGAATTCTGTGGAAACTCAACTCTCTCTCTCTCGCTCGATGTGGTTTCTGGGTTACGTCCAGGGCCAAAAATAAGTCAACACTCCCCCTGCTAGGGGTCTGAAAGAGGCCTCCTGTACGCACACACACTCACACACACACAGTATATAAATACACACACAAAGTGAACTGGGGAGCCCCTGTCGCAGAGGCCCAGGCTGAAGCACTCTCCTGCAGTTTTCTGACGCACACATATAACACACACACACACACACACACACACACACACACACGCGCACACACACAGACACACACACACGTCGGGTGAGGCAGAAATATGTTTTGACACAGATGATGGCAGATGAGAGGTTTATAATAGGAGTCGTGCTGCCCAGCCTCGGCGTTATTTATTCCACTACCTTAATAATGGGCTCGGCACGGCGTGCTAAATGTTATTTTTGGATTTGAACTTCATATTTCCAAACAGGCTACTTCTCAGGAATTAAAAACAACATGATTTTATAATGGAATGGTGTGGGGTGGTGGATTCGTGCCCAAAGTAAGGTTTGCTCACAATTTGGCTTAATAATGACATGCAAAAATAGACCCGACAACATGCTGGGTGAGAATAGTCTGTTTTACTCAGGTGCAAATGGTGTATTTTGTATTGCTACCACCTTAAAAACAGAAATGGTGGCTATGTTTGGGCATTTGGCTAATGTCCACCATCACCCTTCAGCACATAAGTCTACCATCTATATTTCCACTGTCCGGACCCTTCATTCAAGTAACAAGCCATTAGCATATCAGTAGCTGAGGCAGAAACCACTTGGCATGCCTACAAAGTAAAGACAAAGCAACTCAAATGCCCTCAGTACAGTTCTGCACTCGGTGTTCACTTGGTGGACTTGTGACGAGGGCTCATAAGCAGGCATTGCTCAACACAAGCCAAAAAGGTTTAAGGAACCAGCGCGCTGACACACCATCTCCCCTCTCTATCGTCCCCCACAGGAGTCGACTATCGAGCTGATCTTCGCTGCTTTCGCCACCACGGCCAGTGCCAGCACCTCGCTCATCATGCAGCTCCTCCGCCACCCTTCCGTCCTGGAGTGCCTGAGGGAGGAGCTGAGAACCAGGGGTCTCCTCCAGAATGGTTGCCTTGTGCCAGGAGAGCTGAGGCTGGACACCATCGTGAGCCTCAAGTACCTGGACTGTGTCATCAAGGAGGTGCTGAGACTCTTCACGCCCGTTTCGGGGGCCTACCGAACCGCCATAGAGACCTTTGAACTTGACGTGAGTAGCCGAGTAATAGTTCCTGACTGAATACCACTTCATGATCTAATATCTCTTTAATATCTTGGCCATCCTAATCATACGTCAGTTGATGAAGTCTTTCCAAATGGCACATTCATCTTCACTTCTAGCATCTTTGGAATTTATGTCAAGAATAAGAGCTAAGATGAAAGTTTATTAGAAGCTAGAACATAGTCTTCTAAGATCTTTATGAAGGACTTATAAAGAATAAAGAAGAGCAGCTTTGAAAGTCTGATCCATCTACAGGAAACTACCCCAAAATACGAGGTTTTAAGGACATATTTAAGAAGGACAAAGTGCCATCACAACTGATTCTCATATTCCCTTATTCATAGCTAGTATGAGTTACAAAAACTGGAACCAGAGTTTGTGCAAAGTACATAATCTCTGAATTTATAAGCCGATGTGCAAAAGTGCAACAACCTTTCCAGAATTGATGACACCGAAGAAATCTACTTGCAGTTATGTTTGCAACCATACAGATCTGCTAACCGGCTCCATTGCTCCGTCTTTCTTTCTCCAGGGAGTGCAGATTCCAAAGGGCTGGAGCGTGATGTACAGCATTCGTGACACCCACGACACCTCAGCTGTCTTCAAGGATGTGGACGCCTTCGACCCCGACCGCTTCAGCCAGGAGCGGGGAGAAGACAAAGAGGGACGCTTCCACTATCTGCCGTTCGGCGGTGGTGTCCGGTCCTGCCTGGGCAAGCAGCTCGCCACCCTCTTCCTTCGCATCCTGGCTATTGAGCTGGCTAGCACCAGCCGCTTCGAGCTGGCCACCCGGCAGTTCCCCCGCGTGGTCACGGTACCAGTGGTCCACCCCGTCGACGGGCTGAAGGTGAAGTTCTACGGCTTGGACTCCAACCAGAACGAGATCATGGCCAAGTCGGAAGAGCTGCTGGGAGCGACTGTTTGAAGGGCAGAGAGTTGACGAGTAGGGGGAGGGGTGAGTGATCGAAGAAGTCTTGAGGGAGAAGATTGAAGGAAGGAAAGAAAGAATTTCAGAGTTATTTTTTCTTCTCCACCTTTGCCAAGTTGGAGGTTCCTTTTCAGACTAAAAAGAAAAGCAGGTCTTCGTTTCTTGTTACACCTGATGATGATCGGGACTTTCCTCTGAGAAAGGAAGAAGCTGCCAAAAAAGTTCTTAATTATGCTCTATTCCGTGTATTATTTTTTTTTTAAAGAAATATACAAACAAAGTGTATGTACAAAAAAAGCTATGTAATATAATTTGAAAGAGAATGGTGGGTAGTGCACAATGGGAGAAAGAGAAGTATGGTGGTACTTTTGGTGAAATGAAGTGAAAAGTAAAAGTAAAGAGGGTTGGGGAAGGAAGGCGAGATGGATGAAACAGGGTATAGGACGAAAGAATATGATATTTTAGCATTTAGCTTGTGCTTAATCAAATGCAGTGAGACATTCCAGCTGTCTAGCAGGGTAAAAGAGATGGATATACAGACTGATAGATCCAGATTTTCTGGTCAAATTTGATGAATTTCGAGCCTGAATCTTTCACGGCCCCTCCCACATTAAACTCATGTTTTCTGCTTATTGGAGAAAGATTTGAAAGAATGACACACAACAGTGGTGGCATTGTGTTTTCAATCAAAAGTTCCATCAAGATTAATTTTCATTCGTTTCAATTGTTTACGTACAAGTTTACAAAAGGCAGTCAACGGGATCAGAGCACGTTGGGAAGCAGGTTGTGTCACAGGTGAACTGCGTTGCCGAGCCTGTAAGATTGGCTCCGCACCATTTCTGTAACATAATGCAGTAAATATCGGCTTCAATATCTAATGCTAATTGAGGCCAAATATAATTTCAGGCAGGGAAGAAAAGGGCTGAAAAATGAGAGATATAGTTGTGACGGGGAAGATATACTGGCTGCATATTGTAACGGGTGGACCACATAGCATTTTGAATCGATGTAAATGGGCAATTTGTTCAATTTCTTAAAACCTTCCTTTCCTTTCTGGTTATATTTTTCACAATCCTGCCTCTACAATATAATCCGCATTGATTTTTAACACAACATATTGCTTCCATTTATGAATCGTACAGTAGAATAAGCTTCAGTTCTCAAATAAACAAAAACAATAGAAGCAATGCCATCCTGCCGGGTTTTACTGTATTTTACCTCCAGTGAAAGCTTGGATACTCTCTTCTTCCGTCTCTGCTACCCACTGATTGCCCATATGCATTGATTCAAAATGTTGCCCATATTTATAACAAATCACAGTAATCGTAATGATGTGTGAACTCAGGTGCAGAGTAGACATTGTGGTGGATTAAGCCTTCGCTTTTTGATGTTTAACTCTGACTGACTGCCCGTAAATAATGTCACTTACTCGCTGTTGTAGTTTCAGAGTTGGACCGATTACTCTGTCAATAACTTTGCCGTCAGACCACATAAACGAGAGGATATCAGGGGTTTCCAATAACGCATGCTTCCACTTGACTTATTACTATTACCTTCTGCAACCATTTTGCCCCCCCCACCAAGGAAGCAATTCTGATGGTGCAAGCAGAATCAATCGACATGAATTCACAATTGGCACCACAAAAGATCACTAAAGTCGATAAGTAGTGAGGTCCAGGTCTGCTTTGTAAACTCTCTGAACCTGTGCTTTGATGCATAAACTACACTTTTAAGTTGCATTGAGATTGTACCCTCTGGGACGGTGACTTTGTCCCACAACGAGGATACGATAAAGGACTCGAGAGACTTCCTGAGCTGGAGGAGGAGAAGAGACAGAGGGATGAGAGGCGGAGAGGAGGAGACCTACTTACATGCTGCTTGAGTGTTGCTTTGTCGTTCTGTGTTTGTTTAATTGTCTTTTTTATTTTCCCGTCTCCTTGGGGCAGACATTTTGAGTTGCGTGTCGAAGGTGACATGTTGTCTTGCTGCTCCTCCAATCAACGCTAAGAATGCAAAACAAAATTAAATTCCATGGGTTTGTTTTTTTTTCGCTATAAGAGATTTTTTGTTTGAGGTGATTGCACAATCAGGACTCTCAGAGCTTTGCGTGTTCCATCATTGGAGTCAGACGGTCACGTGTCACATACATGATCAGCTTCTGCAACGGAACTCTGGGACTTGCTAGCGGAACTCTTGGACGTTCTAGAATCCCTCGATAGAATTCTAAGCTCCGCAACGAAGCTCGAGAGAGAGAGAGAGAGAGAGAAGGACCGGGGAGTTTTCAGGGGAGGGCGGGGCTTTTCTTATTGGACGGTCCAATAGCGTTCCGGATGGATCATGCCTGTTCTGGACATTGCTCACTCTTTCTACCAACCACACCACTGATTTCTTCATGATAGAAAAATATAAAAAAATTGAATTTATTTTGCTGCTTTTCTTGTGTACATTTTCTAATTGAGAGTTCTAGATTGCTATAGTTTGTATTGAGTGAGATTTGCTATTTCTTTCCCTTTATATATATATACATATACATATATATATATATAATTTAGCTGATTCAAATATTTGCATTTCGTGAAAGCAAAAAGAGCATTAATAGATAGTGTATATTAATTTGTACAATATTCCTTTCCTTAGCAAGCCATAGGGAAAATCAGCTATCTACGTCTACTAATAACCTAATATTAATGTTATTGTACGATTAATATTGTTGTTATAAGATATTTGAAATGCTATTTTTTATTCTATTACAGATTTAGAGTTTTTAGCCTAAAAGAGAAGGTCTTTGATAAATATTGGATGTATTTAGAATGTTATGTATTTCAGTTATATTGTAAACAGTGTTTAAAATGTTAATATTGTTGATTTGATTACTGTAATAATTATTATTTGTTTTGTTATTCAGACTTATTATCACTGCATTTTATTTGATATTAATTATGGAAAACAGAAAGCACTTGCGAGGTATGTCTATTTTTTAAGTGCCATGCGACTACACTTCCCTTCCTCTGAACCTGTCTTATGTCATTATGTACATAATATTTGTATTTCTTTTTACAGGAAAAAAAATGTTCCTTTAGTTTAAATATGAATGTCTTGGTCTACTTTCCTCCTTTTCTTTTTGTTACCGTGATTGTTAAATGTACTCCTGTAATAAACTATAAAGTAAAACGATATCAGAATACTGAATTTTGTACTCACGCCTTTTCTAAGAGAGTATGCTAAGAACAATACCAAAATATTTATGATTTTTATGTACGAAACATAAAACCGCATTGCAAGGAGTCTGATCCTGCCGGACTGCCCCGGCTACCAAATCAGCAAACTTTCTTTTGCTGCCTGGCTGAATACTAGTTGCTACAGCTAACCGCTAATTGAAGGTCTCCACAAGTTTTCTCCTGGTAGCAATGAGGACGAAACAAATCAAAAAAACAACGGGTCATCTGGTCATTTCTCCCACTTTGGATTTGATGCATGAACTCTAAAGTGTGACGGTGTTTTTATAAACCACAGGAAGTATGTGCAAAAGCACATCCAGCATGCAAAATCGAACAGATGGCAGGCAGTCCGTATGCTAACGAGAGCTCGGAGCACTGAAAGCACTTTAGTGTAAAGGCTACTATGGATGCGGAGCACAGACTGAATGGATCAATTACACAGTAGTCCCAGCAGTATTGTTTCAAAGCCTCACGTATCCTGCATCCATTGTGGTGCCATGGTTGTGCGTCTTCAAGATGCAATACTCCGGCCTTACTCGTTTTTAGCATCGTTGTTTACCGACATTCAAAGTGTGGGTATTTGTTGGGGGGCTTAGCTTTAACAATGTGCTATAAACGGTCAGATCCTTTACCTCAGGGACTAAGTGGTTACAACAATGGGACCGAGACGCGTCATGTGGAAGGGGGGGGGGGGACACACACTGAAACTAGTGGTCTGGTTTGGACTGTCAGCACGGTGACTGACTAACATCTCAATGCCTCCATATCTGCTTTTATTGCTCGGCCAGCAGATCAGAGCGGTTTGTGAACATCAAGAAGAAAGCGGCTCTGAGGTTCGCAGCGAGTTTTCCTTTGGCTTGATGGAAGACAGAGGAAGTGAGAAAGCTATTACAATGAGCACAGATTTAAAAATAAATAATAAATAAGCTACACACACTTCAAAGACATGGTTTGAGAGTGTGTATGCCCACACACACACACACACACACACACACACACACACACACACACACA